ATATTATCTGTCATAAGAGAGACTAAAATAAAGGGTTATTTGTATCTCATTTTAAGCGATAATACCCTTTCCATTAGGCCTTTGAGAAAGTTACAAGATGGCTCTTAGAAGTGACATTTTTACTTGCGCTACTTCCTTGCACACAAGTTTATAAGCACCAGCATTACATTTCCTAAATGAGTGGACAGAGATTATGAACTGTGTAAATCCTGACTGATTTCCTGTTACACACTTGCATACTGGATTCCCCCTCTATTTTCCCATGGAACTAATTAGCTCCTCCACACCCTCCCAACCTCAACTCCCCCTCACCCAATGAAAGCTTTGCTTTTTCTTGCATTAAAGTATGAAACCTACTGGGTACCCTTACTTCAATTTTGTGATCAGACACGTTCATTTGAACGCTCTGTACAACAAATGCAAAAAAATTAATAAATAAACATCAAATAAACCAACATAAGCAACCAACGAGTAACCTGGTGAGTATTGTCCTTACTATTAAAAGTTAGCTGGAAAATTTTACATGTTTCTCCCCACAAAAATAAAAACAAACACACAGGCTTGAAAGACGAGGAGAATCATACAGCATAAGCACTGGAAGAATCTCACAGAAATGATCCAGTTCTCTGCTCCCTTCCCAGAAGAGAAAGGAGTCTTGTGACTTAGTCTGTATCCACCTCGAGTTAGAGGCAGAGCCAGAACCAGGCCACGGGATTCTGACTAAGGTCAAAGCAGATTGGGGGACCTGGACATTTACATTGACTTCAAAGAGAAATCCCATAGCAGTAACTACAAGCAGGTGACCAATTTCATAAGGAAGTAAGGGGTTCCACAAAGTACACAAAAATTTTAAATAGTTATTAATCATTCATACATTCCTGAAACTAGAAAGAGGAACCAAAATCTAAATTTTTATTCCAAAGCAAAACATCTATTTCAGATATTCCTAGATATTTTCTAGAACTTTCCCTCCAGCCTCTGTCAACTGACACTCCCTGACAGAGGCTTAGAAAATGAGGGAACTCTATAGCTCACAACCAGCTTGCTTCACGATGGGTGGGAACCAAGCACACACGTTACCAGGCCTGATTGCCATATCTCTTATGTTTTCTCCAATAAGAAGCCAATGGGCCTCTTGCAGCCAACTGAAAACCACTCCTAGAATTTTCATTCTAGAGGGATGTCTGTGAGGGCTGTGCTTGCAAATCTATCCCAACATAGTATCCTTGGATCAGGCATAAAAATCTAGGCTCTGTGTTTAAGCTGGAGAAGGAATAAAGACTAGGAGAACTGCCAAACTTCTTTTTCCATTAAGAATCCACGCCACTCACTTCCCCTCTTAAAAGTTATAACCTGCATAAAATAATCCTAGTTCAAAAGTAGAGTGTTTTAATTTAATCTGCATTAATGACCTTTGAAAGTGTGAGCCTAGACAGGCCTCTGAGATTCAAGCAATGAAACCATCCACGCAGAGTACACCAAATCCATAAGCCAGGGTACTTCTGTGAAGGGCTCTGTGCTCAAAGTGAATGAATACTCACTCTAACGACAGACTTAAAATTCACTCATCGCGGTGTGCCTCCATCTACTCATCCAAATAACCACATGCTCTCTGGGCATGTGTTCAACTGCTTAATCTAGCATGAGGAGACGGCTTCTCTCAGAATTCAAGGCTCCATCTTGGTCTGGCTCCCAAAAATGAGGTATTATCTCTCATCAGGGCAAACACAGAAAAGCACTGCTTTTTTTCCCCTTAGCCCTTTGCTTAAAAATTAGATTAACTATAATAGCAAAAATGAAGCAACTTCTGCAGTAAAAATTCCTAACATATAAATAATTATTCCTCCTGTCGCCCACAAGGAAAAGAAAAAGGTGACTGGATTTTCTGAAAGTGTACTTTTCCCGTGTATTCCCATGTCACCTCAACTTCAAATATGAAGATAAATGAGATTTTAAGTTAATTCATTTTTAATTGGTTGGTTATTTCTTGTCAGCAATTTCAAACATCAGGTAAATCTATATATATAATTGTATATAGCTGATTATTAAGAAGCCTGGGTGGCAGAAGTGGTTTGCGATAGGCTCCTAACCGAAAAACTGGCAGTTCAAACCCACCCAGCAGCTCCGTGGAAGAAAAGGCCTGGCGATCTGCTTCCGTAAAGAATACAGCCAAGAAAACCCCATGGAGCAGTTCTCCTCTGTAACATGTGGAATTGCAGGAGTTGGGGGCCAACTCCACGGCAGCTAATAACAAAACAACAAAGCTGATTATTGCTTCCCATTTATACTTTTATAATGCAAAGCCTGCCATTTTAATTGGCATTCAGAGGTCTGCCAATGTGCGAACTTAAGCAACTCAATTATTTTGCCAAACCGGGGAAGTGAGTTATCTAGAAACAAATGGGAATGACAGATTAAAAGGCAATCCTTGCTAATACCTTCATACTGGGCTAGTTAGTTATATCCTGTTGAGTCCTTCCACTTCTTAGGAAGAACAGTGCAGCGAGCATGGCGAGACATATTGCTTGGGCCTCTAATCTTAGCTGTGACATTTCCTGTCTCATGTTCTACCATCAGTAGTGACCTACTTGTTTCACCAACTAGGCTTACACGTGGGAAACACAATTATTTTTATATTTAGCACAAAATGTAGCCATGAAACATTTCAAATGATTTCTAGTTCAAGATAGCCACATTAGTCTTGTGTTCTGGTAATATTTTTTTTTTTGCTTTGTCGTTCAGAAACTTATTATGCCTCGTTAAAAAGAAAGCTTTCACCTTATTTTTTAAAGCAACCTGTGAAAATGCTATATGATGTCAGCATCTAATAAACTAAAAACTAGCAAAATGTGAAGAACCATGTCCTAGTTACTTATCTTGTTTGAAGAACCAGCCCCAAATGGCCCTTGTTGAAAGTGATAGGAAACAACACTGCTAGTATCATTTCAGTTTGAAATCCTTAGAAAAGTGAAAATAACTTATTAATGATGATAAAAGAGTAGACAACCAATACTCAGAGATGGAATAGAAATGTATAAAAAAAAGAGTCATGAGATTTGTTTTGGTAAAACTACAGGCAAAATCTAAAAGCTCACCACAAAGCAGTACACAGATTACAATTTTACTCGGCCTCTAGTAAATCAACTTTTCTGAGTAATCCAGAAAAGTTGGTTTACTAGGCGGAGTAAAACTGTCATTCATAGTTTTCAAAATTAACAAGAAAGCCACCTTTGCAAATTTATGTATACATGTATATAGCATAGCAAATGGCTGTTCATAATTTTAAGTCGTTTCTTGTTAGCTTTGATCCACAAACCCTAAAGACATTACAGGATCGCACATTCTAATGAACAACACTCGTTGTTCCATGTCACTTGTAAATAAGTGCATTCCCAAATATTCAACCAAATCTCCAAAACAGACAGATGTTAGGAGTCTGCAATACACCTATTTAAGTGAATTTCCAAAACTCTGTGGCTATACCAGCTTGAAAGCAGCTGCTTTTGTGAATCATAAAGGACCTTTCAAAGCACAGTGTTCACACATGGAAAAGCACATGTTCTACTTTGCCTCTGCCAAAGAAGCCTCACCTCCGTCCCCCTCCCCCCACCCCCAAGTACTTGGGAAGTATTCCAGCAATGCATGCGCACCCATTATGGATTCTTTCTCATTGCAACTGCTCTTTCTATACATTTTCTATAACCTCATGCTGTTTTCCACCCACACAGCTTAGAAAGAAAGAAAAAAAAAAAAAGAGAGACTTCGTTGAGCCATAAAAGGGCCAATCTACAGAGTTACTGTATATGAAAACCACCCTGTCAAAGGCAGGCTGTCAACGGCTTACACAGACTATGCACCTGTCTCACTTAAATAGTAATGATGTACTGGCCTAGCCCTTTAATTACCAATCTCATTTTCACCTAGAACCCGATGAGCTCTTACACAATCACATGCCCAAATCCACCAGGGTTATAATATGAGGAGGAAAAGGGTGCCCCCCCACCCCAGGACACACAAGAATAAAGTACAATGCAAACAACATCAAAGCATCCTCTTCCTTTTCTTTCCCCGTCATTTTTTTCACTTGCCTCTGATGCAAAACATGAAAACAATCTGGAAGAGCTAGATTAAAAATTATTCTCAAGTACAGATGTATTTTACTCACCAAAAAATTTAGATTTGTTCTGGAGATAGGATACGGGGATTTAACAGAGAAGCATATTTCATAGTAAGCAACTCTAACAGATTTTTTTGATAGTGGAAACACGAGAAGGCCAGAAAGCAGTATAAGTGGGTTGAGACTGATACTATGCTGAGAGACAGCAGCTTGCGAGGTCACCTGGGGAAAGGCAAGCGGAAGATGAGCAGGTAGGAAGCGAATGTGAAGTCTTGTCAAAATTGAAATGATGATTTATTTAGTTGAGTGGTAAAGTCACACTGGCAGCAAAGCTGCAAGCCCCAGAAAATAATGCCTCACAACATATTTAGCAGGCGACACAACAACCTACAGAATGACAGGGAAAGAAAAAACACACAAAAGTACGCACTTCAGCAGAGAAGGTCCTGAGCTGAAAGCCGAGAAGAGACTTTGGAGAAAGGCACTCTACCCTCATCTCTGTCAATTCCTTCCAAATGAATACGTGAGGTAAAGCTATTTTTCAACTTGTACCTTCGTAACTATCTCAGGATAATTAAGAACATAGTTGTAAGAATAAATTATTTTAGTAGATATGAGTTCAAATGAAAAAGTATGTGTAACCAGAAAAAGCAATTTTATTTCTTTAAGTAAATCTGTCACTGCAAATTATCATGCAATTATAATTCTCCCAATTTACAATCTAGTGTTATAGATTTACACCTTTATTTTTGAAGGGTTTCTGCTGAATTAAAGGAGTTGGCATTCTTAAAACTGTAATCAATAGAAAAACTAAAGTTAACAGCGTTACTCAAATTTCTCTAGATTGCACCAACCTCTCTTGAAACTCTTACGTAGTACTTACTGTAGTGTGTCTTTTCTCCAAAAAAACTTCGGTATCTCTATCTTATTTTACCTTTAAAGAAATAAAAAAATAAAAGGAGGTTTTGTTAAGTTTTCTTTTATAGGAAAAATCTGAGGTGCACGTACTCAGATCAAGTGACAATGGACATCCTACTTGATTCCTAACGCAGGAGATAAAGATTGACTATGGATTATTAGAGGTGAAAACATCTAAAGAATTATTCCTTTATTAACTTAGTTGTTCATTCATCCATGTTTACAAATACAGCCAGTCTCTGCCCTCATGGAACTTGCAAGTTCTTATTAGTTGTAAGAACTTATAAGAACTTATTATCCATTTTCACAAATACAGCCAGTCTCTGCCCTCACAGAACTTATCGGTTCTTATTAGTTATAAGAACTTACAAGAACTTATTAGTTGGGAAGACAGACAAAAAAGAGTACACAAGTACATTATACAAGATTGTGACAAATACTATAAAGGGAACAAAAAAGGGGCAGATACAGAATTTTGGAAGGGCCATAGGGTTTCCAAGGCTATAAATCTTTACGGAAGCAGACTGCCACATCTTTCTCCCACAGAGTGGCTGGTGAGTTCGAACCACCGATCTTCTGGTTAGCAGCCAAGCACTTTAACCAATGCACCACCAGGGCTCACAGGGAAGGGTGGGGAATCCTAAATATTAGATAGGATAATCCTAGAGATGCCCTGAAGAGGAGACATTTAAGCCAAGATATGAATGGGAAGGATTTAGCTATAAGAACCGTGGATGTGGCATCCAAGCAGAGGTAACAGCAAATGCAAAGAGTCAGAGGTGGGAAGGAGACTGGCTTATTAGACAAACAACAAGGATGTCAGTGTGGTTGGAGGGCTGAGAGAGTGCAAGAGGGTAGTTAATGAGGTCACAGAGATGGGCAGGGCCCATCACCTAAGGCCCTGTAGGCCAGGATAGTGTTGGGACTGTCTTCCAACTCAAAGGGAAGCCATGGAGAGCAGGGAAGGGACATGACAGATGGACCTAGCTTAGCTGCTTACTAGCTGTGTGACACAGGCAAATTACTACCTCCTTTCAGATGCTAGGAGCTCTGGTGGAGCAGTGGTTAAGAGCTTGACTGCTAACCAAAACGTCGGGAGCTCGAATCTACTAGCAACTCCTTGGAAATTCTACGGGGCAGTTCTACTCTGTCCTATAGGGTCGCTATGAGCTGGAATTGACTCGACGGCAACGGGCTGGTTTTGGCTCAGATGCTAAGTTCCTAATTTATAAACGGGCACTCAATAAATAATGGCCAGTTACAATCATCAGCAATTATCATTGTTCTTAATACTATAACATGTAAATTAATGAAAAAAATTCACCTAAACTTCAAATAGGCCTACACTGCAAAATAATATATCATAAAAATAGAATAATTGAGAAATAAGGAAATTATTTAATCTTTTTTATTCAGTAAAGATCATATACTTATTGAGTACAAACAGATATAAATTAGTACATTCAAATTCATTAGGGTTTATCGTGGCTCTAATCAGAACAAACGCTGATCTTGGCTCATTTCTTTGCCCTTAATTAGTCCACTTTGTGGCTTTTCTCTCCCTGTCTACCTAGGCCTTGCTATTTTTTTTCCAGAACTGCATAGCAGTTCCAACTACACAGCAGTCAGAGGAGAATTTTATGGTTATTTTCTTAAGCATAACACGTAGCAGACACAACTGCCTCCTGTCATCTATTGCTCTCCTCCCCTCCCCCCACCTCATACTTCTTTCTTGCTAACAGAATCCTGATTTTGTTCAAGTTCCACCTCGTCCTCCCTCAGGTACTCATGGTGAGTCCCTTGCTAGTGACTGGTATAGACATGGGTATGTGATCTAGTTCTGACCAATGAGATCAGAAGAGAGGTCTTCTGGGGTTCGTTTAGGGAATGTCTTCAGGTATTTCAAAACGGGGGGATCCCTTTTCTGTGCTATAGATATTGTTGTGTCTGAAGTGACTGCAAGTGACATCTGAACTGCTGGAGCCATCCTGCAATGAAGCAAGGAACCAGTCTTAGAGTGAAGTGGACCCTCAGGACAACAGAGGCAGAAAGATGGAAGAAACCTATATTCTGGATGATGTCATTGTGCCACTGAATCAACTAAGTCTGCCACCGGCCCTGTTTCTCACATGGGATAATAAATTTCTTTACCATTTATGTCAACTTGAGTTGGGGTCTTTTGTTTCATGCAGCAGGTGGTCTCCTAGCAGATGTACCATATTATCTCTACTTGCACATTTCCATTTGGAAACACAACTCATTTCTTTTCTCTAGGAAGGTCTAGGACTGAAACCAGGACTTCTGACTCTAGCTCAGTGAACTCTAAGAATGCATTTTAATCTACCACACTAGATAGTTACTTGGAAAAGCCCAAGGAAAAAACACCCTAGAAATCATAACAGGAGGATGGTACTTTGGCCTAGGTGTTGGTGTTGTTAGGTGCCCTTGAGTTGATTTAGATTCACAGTGACCCCATGTGACAGAGTAGAACTGTCCCTTAGGGTTTTCTAGGCTGTAATCTTTACAGGAGCAGATCATTAGGTCTTTCTCCTGTGAAGCCGATGTGTGGATTCACACTGCCAACCTTTTGGTTAGCAGCCAAGCGCTTAACCATTGTGCCACCAGGGCTCCCTTTGGCAGGGGTAGTACCAAATGGTCTCTGTGTGTGTGGCTTTCCCCACCTGTTTAAAAATTTTGACTTTCACCTCCCACCTGCCTGGGACATTCCCCAAGGCTGAACTGAAGCACACCTTTCACTGGTCTTTTGTTCCATAAGGCTACTAATTTTAAGCCCTTACCCAATTACAAGAGTTTCAGTGAAGTGATCACACAGAACTATAACAGATCCCAGAGACAGGTCACATGTTAAGGAAGCAGAAGCAGCTTCGCGCTTCACTGGGACAAGAGGATGAAGGGAGAGAAGCACTCAGAGAATAAGTGCAATATTGCAGTTGTACCTGAAAAGGAAGGGGGAAAATCTTGACAATCAAAAGACACTATTCTTTCAGCTATGTGGCGTAATCTTAAAATTGAAACTATCAGAGACCAGTCAAATAAAATATGAATCTTACAAAAAAGCACAGATGATAATTGACTGAGGAGGGAAGGTATGGAGTGGGATTATTATTTGGTAGCTGATGGTGGAGGCTGGGAATGAAGTAAAAAAATGTATCACGTAAATGTCTAATGGTTCACAATAAGCAAAAAACAGTATGCCTTGAAACAAATTAAACATTCTAGTCTAATACGCATTTTTCCTAAAAGAAAATTATAGAATTATAAAGTTAGCACATAATGGAGAGCAGAAAATGTAACGTGCATAGATTTCATAATTTTGTACAGTATTTGAGAAACATTACTTGAAAAATGGGGTGAACACTATAACTGGTGAAAATATGCTAACAGACCATAATTAAAACAGAATAGTAAATGGTGCCTTAGCTCTGGAAAGGGTCTCTATCAGGATTCCACTTAATGTCTTCATTACTAATCTGCACTGAAAATGGAAATTCATTCAATGTGAGGATGGTATCTCTGAGACGTTGCCAGGGGCAGGAAAGTGGGAGAAAAATGTCTGAAGAGGTTAGAAACAATACAACTTAATTAGGTAAATCAGGAAAAACAACCTGAAACAACAAAAATTTTTAAAATAAAATAAACGAAGGAAAAAAAACTAAAAAAATCACTGGTGATATTCCAAAGGGAGAAAAAAAGTGACAACTATTGACATTAACTACAAGGCAATAAACTGGCCTCCAAAGAAAAATAGGTCATGGCTAGTCAGAACAACAAGTTAACAATTCATCAGCAAAAGATGCATTCGTCCACATGTTCTGTTTTTAAAGAAATCAGGATAGGTCTGCCCTTCTTTTTACCCTTCTGTGTATATCTATTTTGGTTTTGTAGGAAGCTTCATCTCCTTGATAATGAGTATCTCTGTCACTAGTAGAGTCTTGTGATCTTGTTTCTTAATGATATAAAAAGTGAGCAGGAGGAGGTAAGAGTGATTAGGCAGGTGAGGAGAAGTGTCATTGGCAAGTATGGGTAAGGATGATGAAAACTGAGGTTTTGTGAGACTTAATTACTTTTGTACTGTGTAAGGCTGCCAGAGCATGTAATATCCCAAAAGAAGAGAAGTTGTATTACTACGATCTTTTTCTTAGCATTAGAAAGATACATTGGAATGCTTTAGAAAAGTCCTCAAAGAATGGTAAAAAATGCAGTTACTTCGGTAGAGAAAAAGATTAATGGTAATACTGATTATGAGACAGGTTTTATAAAATAGAGTTCTTACCTGAAAAGAAGGGAAAGAGAACATTAAAGAAAGGATAACATTATTGGAGGATGAGAGGTAAATTAAGAAGAAGTTGAAATTAGGGAAACTAAAAAGGTTAAGGGATAAGAACTTTCTGACTGTGAGAACCTCTGTGTGTGTAACGTATTTGCAAAGTTTAAGAACAAAAAGGTTTGGTATTTAGGACACTGAAAATCAGATTTGAGACAATGCCAAAGCAAAGCACCACAGGGAGAACCTCCACTAGTTGCAGTGAAGGGAACCAGCTGATTTGTTCCACAGACGTTTGCCTTGACACCCTCAACTGGAGCCTCCCTGGGGTCCTCCAAAGCACCCAGATCAAAATGTGAAAGCAGAAGCTCTGGGCTATGCAGGGCAGGCACTCCTGATTTCCAAGCTCCAAAAGAAATCAGTGTTTGAGTCCATGACCTAATTTAGGGTAGCTCACCTTCTCTGTTGCCTTGGACATCAAACTGCTTTTTAGACACAATCACTCAATTTTGTAATGATATTTTCTTGGCCGGTATGAGAAGAAGGCACCTCTGTTAAGTGAGGCTCAGTCTCCCACATGAGACAGAAAATCAGGGTCCTTGATCTCTTGCAGTCATTCCCAGCCCTGTAAGATCTGACATTAAAGGGCTATTCTAATGGTCCTCACTTCAGAAGTTAAGCTTAATTCAGATAATTCATGAACTTCTTCTGGAGACATGGTCTCTACAAAACCACAGGAACCTGGCTCCCAGGACTGGTGCTTACTGAAGCCATCAGACTATCTGATAAACGTGATTATGTAGGGGGAGCTTCTTAAACAAAATGAGATTTATAAATGAAAACTATTACAAAAGTTAGTCTCTGAAATAGAAATAATCTGTTGGAATTATTTAAAACAAACAAACAAACAAAAGACTATCCTCAACAAATGTCAAGCTTCCCCATCATACCAAGCTTTGAACATCAGCAACCTCTAGGCCCAGCACCATTTTGCTCCTCAAAGACTCCTCAAACCTCCTACAGCCAAAACTAGCTAGCCACCTGCATTGACTGGCAACAGGACTTCAAAAGACATGACAGTAAGGCTGTCTCGGGTCTCGGGGGGGGGGGGGCAATCAGTCAGCTGCCTTTTCAAGATATGACAAGGGCTATGGGAACAAAACAGCAACTAAGATAGATGGCTTAGACTAGGGTAGGAGTGGGAGACATCCTTAAAGAGGACACAACAGGGAGGTAATGAGAAGGAGGCAAGGCAGTGAGAAGGAAGCAATGAAGCAGAGGGACTTTGAAGAAGGAGGGAGCAGGAATGGATGATAGTTATACGAAGTGCTGAGACTGGCGCTAAAGCTGAAATTTCAGCACTAAGATTCTAGTGATTGCTACCATTTACATTTTTGGTGAACATCTTTGTGCATATTCCTTTTGAGCCCTTGCCATGTTCCCTTTAATTCTTTGTAGACACTAGTGCACCTACCATCTTTTCTTGAGAGGCTGCTCAAGATGAAAGGTGTGTGCCCTCAAGAGGCTCCCAGCCTGGAGAGAGATTACAGAACAGGAGATGAGGACTCTGCTGGCAGAAGGCACCAGGCCAGAGAGGGGACATGGAAAGGCTTCCCAAACGTGTGCATGCTTGAACTGCGTTTTGAGTTAGCTAAGCAGAGAAGAGGTGCTACTCATGGTAGGTACTCAATTAATATTTGTTAATTAATTTCAGTTCCTTATGATTTGTAATGATTACCTGGAAGATTCTTTAAGGACTGGGCGCTAGTTCTTACAACTGTTTATACTATTTTCAAAAAAAAAGATAAACCTATTCACTTTCATGTTCAGGCATATAATCCAAAAAAAAAGAAAGAAATACTATACCTTACCTTTGGTGGAAAGGGGGTGCACTCATAATTGGAAAAGACATCTTCTTGTTCTGTTTATTTCATAGCAAAAAGTGTTAAAATCGTTCGAAAAGAGCACACTTTACTCACTTGAAATGTGTCTGCATATTTTAGCATAAAACATACTAGGCAGCTCCTAACATAATTGGATGGCTATGCCTTGCAAAAACTTGATTTCTTTTTAATCAAATTTTTAGAACCATACTGGGTTTCTTGTCAGTACTGCAATAGTGAGCAATAAATACATCATTAGATCAATGGTGGTCTGATGATGGATTACTCAAAAGACAGTTCCAGCCAAGAAGAATAAGCTCAGAAGTCTCATTGTGCAAAGATTAATAAAAGATTGTTTCAAACACAGATACTGAGTTAATGTAACAGGCAAGAAAACACTGCAAAATAAAACAGAACAGCCATGCATTTGTAACATGGTGATATTGATCATGATTTTCCTAAGTACTCCAGAGCAGCCACACTATTACACATGCTTCTGATTAGACCCAGAGATGAGAAGGAAAACTTATAAAAAAAGAAACTAACCAGTGGAAGGCCTGCTGCTATAATAAATTATTTAAAGCAAGCAGGGCGAGCAGGTTGTGAAGACAGTATAAAACAGAATCAATGCCCCAAGAAACCTCAAACCATCAGCACCTCTATAAATTTCTTACCACCCTGTCTGGCAGTTTACTAGAGGTATTTCTTTCCCACCACTCTCCACAACCCACTCCCAACCTGGACCATTCGGCTTTTGTCCAGTTCTTTTCTCAAGAGCTTAACATTTGTTTTTCTTCTGTAACCCAGGATGCTGTCTTCAGTTAGTCTTCAGCTTGTATCAGAAGAGTGTCTGTAAGGTCACAGATGAGTGCATCTGTCACTTCATTCATCTGGATCTTAAATTTCCCACTGAAACTCTAAGCTGGGGATATCTAATATGACACATATCAACATGACTTTAATAGCAGCCTCCTCCTCCTTTTTTCTTACTAGTGTCATAGTTAAACCCACAAAGCTGAAGCTAGAGTACAATTTCTATAGCTCAATGACTTTTTCCAGCTCAGAGGATGTTACTAGCACCCAAAAATTAAGATGAGGTAAGAGCTTGAGGGGCCATTGTGGACGAGAAATAGTAAAAATGGTCAAAACCTAAGAATTAGGACGTTAAGAGGGTGGATTGACTTGAAACATGAATTTTTTGTAAGTAGATTTGACTGTGGGGGTAAGGGTAAAGAAAGAAGCATCAAAAACTTGAAAAGAATTTGTCAAATGAAAGTTGGATGCCAAAAGCATGCCATGGCCAAAAAGAAAGTAAGAATTGTTGCTTAGAAGCTTGCAATGACCTATGGTCTAGTTTCAAGAAAAGCAGCATTATACTGCAGTTTTTAAACTGGACAGAAATTGGTCCCATTGATCAGGGGATGTGATATACCTTAGGCTTTTTAATTTTTCAAAATTCTTCCAATCATGCAAATGCTGGGAAATGAAACATAAGCAACTGTCTTCTGTCAGAGTGAAAACATCATTAACAGCATAACATGACTCAACAGGCAAACAGCACAGATCTAAAATACAGGTCCAAAGACTTCTATGTGTTGTCTTTGCAGCCCTGGTGCTCTGTGACCTTTAGCAAATAATTTGCCTCTCTGGGTCAAGGCTGGCTGGTTAAGGTCATGGTCATTGAACCAATTATCCTACACAGTGGTTAACTTTATAAAGAAAACTGTTCCAAGGTCACATTCAATATAAAAACATTTTTGAAGAAACAGGTAAAAAAAAAAATGTAGATGATATGAATGACTAAGCAGAATCCTATCATATCACCACAATGCTAAATTACAAACAATTAAAAATGCAAGGACGCTTCTCGGTTATTGGTGTCATCTTTGACTATGAAAGACAGGATCTCAATATTATTATCCTTTTGTGGCTGCTGTGGGCTCCTCTGCAACAAAGTTAAAAAAAATCATTGTACTCAAAGGATTGTTAAGATAAGCGACCTATAAACATAGCTGCCAAGTGCTTCTTAAAACAGAAATTGCTCTGTAAAGTCCCAGTGATGAGCCAATGGTCTGGAAAAATCCAGGTTCAGTGCCCCAACCTATCCATGTCCTTTTGTCACCAAGAAGTAAATATTCCGGGTACTTGTGACCTCTGTGGAGAAGTCATTTGGTTTTTTAGGTAGTTGAATGGTAGAAAGAGGGAAGGAAAACTTCTGATAGACCCTTTCTCTTTTAAGCCTTATCTAGAAGTCTTAAATTGAGAATTATGCCAGTTTAAAATGGGAGGATAGAACCCAAATGTCGGTATCAAATTATAAATAAAACAAATTAACTGGCAATAATTAATAAGTCAAAATTCACACTGATTTCAGTGAAAAGAAAGGTAGCAATCAATTCTCAACATATTTCTGTGATGCTGAGAAAATTTATCTACTCAATTAACTGGACAGCTCAAAATACTACTAAGGTGACTTTCAGAAAATGAGATATCTCTGGGCCTCTGGGTGGGTAGCCTGGGACATTCACCTGGCTGAGAGGCAGGCCAGATCAGTTTCCCACGGAGATCCTTGTATATCTGTACTAGCCCAGCTGAGGTGCGAGGTATGCACTTTGGTACTAGCCCTCAAGCTGGGGACAGCTTTTAAAGAGACAAAGGTGCCTCCCAAGGTTTAGCATCCTTCTACCTCCAGGGAAAAATGCCCAACAACTATGAGTTAGGTCTGGCAAGGCATCCCAGAGCATCCCCAAAACCCACTGGCCTTGGAGTAGGAGATGGAGGGCCTAAGACTGGGGAGGGGTTGAGAATTACCTTGCTTCCCCAGGCAGATTTCCTTAGAATTGGGGTCAACCTGGAACAGGTACAGCTGAGGATTCTAAAACACTTTCAAACACAGGACAAAAGATGCCCATTGTTGAGGGCAGAGAGACTTACTGCATTATCTATAAATTTCATAAGGCTGATAAATACCACCTGGAAATTTCTGACATATGTTAAATTAACTGATGGACTATAATTCTTCTTTTATCTCATAAACATCATTCCCGTGTTTCTCAAACTATGGCAAGGGAGACCACTGGCATCAGAATCACCTGGGGGTGCTTGTTAAAAATGCAGATTCCTAAATACCTCTCCAGACTCCTGAATTAGAATCCCTAGGACTGGAGAACACTCCAAGAACCAAATTCTAAGGAGTAACCCAGTTGATTCTGATAACCCAGACTAAGGTGGGAGCATTACTGAATCTATACAGCCCATCAGAAATTTAAAGACATTCACAGATTAAGGCTTTGCATATTTTCCCCAAAATGCCTTAAAAATGAAAGCAGTATTTCTTGTGATGAGTTCTTAAAAACCATTCTAGTTTATTCTGCCCAGATATAATTAACACTGTTACTAAAATGTAATTATAAAATTACAGGGAAAATATCAACTCTGCTTCTCCAAAATATTGCCTTTATTTTGTCACCTAAAATAATTATGCTATCAAAAGGATTTATAGTGTTTTAAAGTATCTGTCACTTGGATACAGGAACTTATTAAGTTGGCATACCCTTCCCATGCCCTTTTAGTCATGAGAATTTTTGTGATAAAGGTTTTTATTATTTTTTTTTAAACTATAAATTCTGAATCACTGCAACTAGTGGTTAGTCTGAATATGAATTTATATCCAAGTTATAAATTCCTAAAAACATGTTTCATTGGAATTACTAAGGCAGTCCTAACTCTAGTAAACTAAATAGCCTCTGCAAGAAAGCTCTGTTTACTTCTATTAAGGTTTTTTTTTTTTCTTTTTTTGGTGCAAAACAATTCAGTTTTAATGTATTCTCTTTAAAAGCAAAAGAAAAACAGTTTCTGATATACATGCTACTGCAAAGCAGTAAACCAGTGCTGCATGGTGATGTGACAAGCACCACATTTCTTTTCTAGGGGTTTTTTTTTCCTCCTATAAGGTCCTCACTCCCCAAAGTGTGGCTTTAATTATTTCACAAAATGCAGCTTGACATTTCTGAAGAGACAACACTCCCTCTACCCCCTCACCAAAATCACAAGTTCAGCCCTAATAATGAATGAAAATAGAACTTGAGACTGGGCTTTGTTTGTAGCATGTTGTTTCTGCTGAGGGTTGCCCCCCTACCCACGCTCCACCCCAGTGCCCCGACTGAAGTGGACAAGTTATGTTTTAACAGATGGGACGGCTGGCGGCTGCTGGGCTGTAAACCAGGAACAAGGAATCTGCACCGAATGGTACAGAGTGAATGCTTGTAAAGTTCACGGACATACACTGACCTAGACAGATAGGCAGATCCAGGTATGCTTGCTTACACACCACACACACATTCTCACCATTTACCCCAGTGCTCAGAAGATCAATCTCCATGACCAAGGGGAAGTTCAAGGCAGTTTGCCCTTTATATACTACTATCTCACTCACCTATCAACTATATATGTGTGTGTGCACATACACATGTATAACTACGTATCTCAATGTTTTTATGGTTTCAAAGATTAAAATAGTCCCAAATTCTGTACACAAGTCTCTATCTGGTACTCTCAATAAGCTCTCATTCATGTCAAATAAGAATTACAAGAAAATAGTAAATTGAATTATATTTAGTCCGCACATAATATAAACTAAAAATCCAAACCAACCCATTGCCGTCGAGTTGATTCTGATTTATGGAGACCCTACAGGACAGAGTAGAACTATCCCATAAACTACATGTTGGTAATTGTCGACCCCCTCCCCCCACGCACACCCAGCAAAACAGATGCATTTACCCCCTTCTTATTAAGGGGGGAAAAAAATCTATCCCAGACTGAGTCAGAAACAAAGTGTCAGGTTTAACCTTGAATCCTCTGTTGTCAGTTCCTGTCACAACTTCATCACTTAAACACAGGAGCTTAAATAAACAGCCAACGACCCTGGCGGTCCCTTTCACAGTCTCGTCTTGCATTTTCAGGGGCTCCGAGCACTCAGACAGACAACAGTTTCCCTCTAGCCCTAACCAAGTCCTTCAGGCACATCTTGCGGGTGGTTGTGGAGGTCCGCGCACCTCCGGAGGGAAGCAGATTCGTGTGCTAATAGAAAGTAATTACAAAGTTTAATATCCGCGCTGTCAATGCCTTTCAATAGCTACAAAACACCTAAGCCCCTGCCACAGAACCCAGCTGGTCACTTAAGTTTCTTGACCGCGGAAGACCCATCCCACACGTAGGCTTCCTCAGTCTACAGATTCAGACCCGGACGCTGGTTACAACACCGCATCGGCTTCGGCGTTGGTTAATTTTTCAGGAACCGTCCGCGCACCACCCGGGCACGGAGGCGCCCCCAGCGCCGCGTCGCCGCGTCGCCGCGTCGCCGCCGCAAAAGGGCAGGGGACGCGTCCCCGGCCCCACCTGAAGATGATAATTACAACGCTCCAAGTTCGTGCGTACGCAGAGCCGCGTCCTGCGCAGAGTTGGGATGCTTTGAAAACAAGAAGTTCGGGAGTAGGGATACTGGCACGGGGTAAATCCTACCCAGCCTTCACCTCCCCACGGCGGCTACGCTCGGACGGACCGACCGACGCGCGCCAGGACGCGTCCAGTCCCCCGGCTTGCCGGCCGCCGCACAGCGCCCAGAAGAGCCGCTGGCCCTCGGCGCAGCCACTCACCTTTCTCGCCGAATTTCGATCGCAAACTGACGCCCCTGCTCGGGCTCCTGAATCCCAAGTTGCCCCAAATCTGCTCTCGCCCCAGCGGACCCAGGCACACTGGTTCGGGCGGGCACCTCAGGGGGAGCACGGCAAGCCCGGTGGCTGCCTCTGTTCAGAAGCCGCCCAGAGCGCGCTGACAATTCATGGACTTGCTCAGCGAATGAGGCAGGACGCGGGGCCGAGCCGAACGCACTCGGGGGAGAGGGGGCAGAGCAACGGGTGGGGGGCGGAGCCAGCCCCGGGCCGGCCCTGCGGGGCGGGGCGCCCGTCGCCCAGTGACTGGCGGCGGCGGCAGCCAATCCGGGCGGTGCCCGGGCCCCAGGCGGCCGAGGGCCGTGTTGAGTGCCTAGCTCCGTCCCGCATCTGCTAGCCAATCGCCCGCGGCCGGGGGCTGGCGAGAGAGACGCGCTGGTGGCGGGTAAGTTCGTGGCGGCGAAGATAGAGGTTTAGGGCCGGCGCTGCGGGGGCTGCTGCAGCGGGACCTGGGTGCCTCGGGAGGAACATGGTGGCCACGGACAGTCCTTGGCAGAGAGAGGCCTGGACGCCGCGGGGAGCCCCCGAGCAGCCGCGTCTCGGCGCGCTGTGAAGCAAGAAGCCCCACGGCACCGCTGCTGACTCCGGAACCTGACGCTAGCAGAAGGCGCGGAGCTCGGCGGCCCTAAAGGGGCCCCAGCAGTCGGAGGAAACCGACGGCCCAAAATGGGTGAGTCCCGGGCCGGGTCACCCAGCCTCCAGTGGAGGCCCGGGATTGAGAGCCCCGGGCTCCCCGGAAAAGGTTCTGATTTTAGTCTGGTGTTATTTCCGAAATAACTCCGGCTCTGCACGCCTGCGGGAAAGTTCATTACAGGCCCCCATCCTCACCCCATACCTGCCCTCCGCACCACCCGCAGCGTGCACTTACCCGGCGCCTCAGCCCCCTCCTCCTGCCCCGGGACGTCCGGGGCACTTGCGCAGAGGCGCGAGCGAACAGGAGGCGTGGGCGCTCGACAGCGCCTGAACCCTCGAGACCCTCCGGTCTGGCTGTCCTGCAAAGTGGCATCCGCAGCGGCGACCCTTTCTGCCCCTGTACCCTTAGTCCACCAGGACTCCGGAGAAATCAAAATAATCCGTCTTTCCAGGCAGGAAGGTCGCAGAGCGTACCACATGTGTCCCTGTCTCTCACACCCTTCCCCTTTGGAAGTTTCTGACTCAGATGGAGACTAGAGCGAGCGCAGAGACCTCCTTAATCAGGCGGACATCAGGAGCCTGAGCCCCGAGGTCGCAGGTCACTCGCAGCCGAGCAGCCCTGGAAGATGGCTAGGTCACTGCTGCTCGTCTTGTTGGCGTCTGGTTCCTTCAGCAGGATTTTAAGCCCTTACCATCGCTGCCACACACGCATGATTAGCTGCAGTTAACTCTTGTGAACGATCATGATTAGCTGCAGATATTATTGTGAAGGATCAAACGGCAGATGTTGAGTGTTCTTGCTTTCCAGGCTAAAGCCTAGAATGTAAGCAAACCCTGGACTGTAAACTGTGGATGGGTAGGAGCCTCTCTGTGTCTAGAACTGCAACTGCCATAGGTTGACACCCAATCCATATTAGTAGAATGAAAGGATACAAGACAGGAAAGGGGTCAGTCTTCCTTGTACCCTGACCGTCACCTTTGCCACTGATCTTCTGGCTTCTAGCCCAATCCCATTTCAGTTAAAGACCATTGGCTCACTCATGCTAGAAGTTCTAAAGGTTTTAGTCTCTCAGTGTGGGCAACTCTTCATGGAAATGATGTTTGAAGCAGTATGGACTTCTGCAGGTGTTATTTGACGGGCTCCCTACTCCTTATGGAGTCCCTTGGTGGCACAAATGGTTAAGCACTGGACTACTAACCGAAAGGTTGGCAGTTCATACCTGCCAGCTCTGAGGCTAGCTGTACCCTAGATTGAGTTTCTACTCTATCTCCACAGCTCCCTCTCTCAATAAGGAAAGATAGGTAAGACAGGTGGTCAGAAGGGTAAGTAGACCAGGGCCTGGACAGTCTTTAGCAGGCCTTGAAAAACTAGTCAGTAATCCAGAGTTGCACATATTTAATTTGTTCCTCATCTAGTGAACTAAAGGACTGGTACTGGTAAGGAAGACTATCCGATTCAGTTCCAGGGGTACCTTAGTGTGCGGCTGAGTGGCTTGGGAGAATGGACAAGCTGGTCTTTATCTACAAGTTGTTAGATGTAGACCACATGAATGGAATATCTGTCAGGTCTCTGCCCAGGTTAAGATGAGGGAGAAGAGACTGGAAGTGCCAGACAGAGGAGGAGAGAAGGCCAAGGGAAGAGAAGATGCCATTCCTTGTCCTGGTTCTAGTAGAACTCCACTTTCATGTATTTTATAAATTATATTTTCTGTTTGCTTTCGTGAACCTCAGTAAGCCTCTCCCTTGAAGGCTGCCATGAAACAAATCAACTTTGGCTGGAATTATCAGGAAATTCTCATGGAGGAAATACATTTCCTTGGATTTTTTTTTTCCTCACACCTGGATCTAACTACAGAAAAAGTGTGCCCACAGTGTTTATCATATTAACACCCTGTGAAGATTTTTCAGAGATGCTAATGATTATTTTAAAAATCACCTTTGTAATAGACAAATACTGGCTGGTGACTGTATGTGCAATAGTATTCACATTCCAAAATAAATAAATAAATAAAAGACCAAACCCATGGCTGTCAAATGGATTCTGACTCATAGCAACCTACAGGACAGATTAGAACTGCCCCATAGGGTTTCCAAGGAGTGCCTGGTGGATTCGAATTGCCAACCTTTTGGTTAGCAGCCAAACTGTTAACCACTATGCCACCAGGGTTTCCTAGTATTTACCTTAGATGGTGAAAAAAGGAAATCAAAGAAATTTTCTTTCATAAAATAGATTAGAACTAAACAGGTGACTCCCAAGTTCTGATTTCCATGATTTTCTGTTTGTTTAATAAGACATGACCATCCATGGGTTCTTGAACAAGTCATAGATCTCATTTTCCTTTGTAGAATATGGCAATGGCCTAAACTCAAGAGATTGTTAGAGGGTCTGGCAACCGAAAGAATGTAAGTCTTGTGATAGGCTCTTGATGACTGAGTACCGATTACGACAGAAGACGGTGTTGAAATATAAATGCAGTTTAAATGTGCCCTGTCTCTTCCGTGCCATCCATTCCATAAGGGAAAATGAAACCCGTTTCTGTTCAAGAACCATGATGGTCTTATCTGTATGAAACAAACAGAAAACTATGAAAATCTGGACATGGAAATCACCTGTTCTATTTCATGAAAGAAAATTTCTTTCCCTCAAAATGATGAGGAAGTTTGTGGAATGGCTTGGGAAAGATGGGACCATGGAAGCAGAGCTGGTCCCTTTGTGGGTGTTGAACAAATTTGCTTCAGGTGCTATTGCCCTGCTCTGTCATGGAAACGATATTTTGGAGCCTTCTAAATCTCAATAGAGTGTGGTTGGTAGGAGGCTATGGGTTCTGATCTGAGTGGCTGCCATGGAGAATGCTCCTGGCAGTCACTTAACCTCCATTTACCCTTGCTTCTTCAGCCATAAAACAGCAGTAGCAGAATTGGCCCACTGTGTTTAGTTGCTTAAGGGGACACCAGGACAGTGGTTACAAAATACTACAAATGCATGATGTTTATAGCAGTACTGACAGCCAACAAGGAGAACAAAATGATGTTGAAACAGGAAAATAGTGAGATTTGAACAATTTCTCTTTACACTTACAATTTCCATTTAATCTCATTGGGTTATTGTCCTTTCATTCTATAAATGGAAATGAGGAAAAAGAACCTTATTCTTTGATTACAAAATGTTTTGGAAGCTGTTAATGGGAAGGGTTGTAGAAGCAGATCTAGGGTTGAAGAAAATTTTACTTAAGCAAATAGTATCTTCTCCTCTCTCCCCTTCCTACCATCTCTCTAAACATATATTCATGTTGAAAATTGTTCACATTTTGAAGAGGTTGTGCTAAAGATCGTAGCAAAGAAATGCAAAGTCAGAAACTGCAGATTCTAATACCAGCTCTTCTGTTGATTCATTCTGAAACCTTGGGCAAGTCATTAACCTCCCCATGTTTTAGTTTCCCATCAATGAAACTGCAGTGATATTTTTGATTAATTTCACAGAGATGGGAGCGATAACTAATGATAAGGAACTTTGAGATATTAATTGCTATACAGTCTACAAAATACCATGTAGGTGTTTTGGGCAAACTAAAGTATGGTGTTTGTACACTACAACTAGGAGGTATTTTTGTAACAGAGAGCTTGCTTGTTCTTACACAGTATCTGCAGCCAGGTTGATGCCACCCACAAAACCGTGATACCTCATTGCATTTGAATGACAAAGCCGCTGGCCCATATGAGAGTAATATTGCCACAAGCTGAACTAAGTTAAAGTGTGATAACAGAAATGAGTAAGAAGGGGACACTCCTATTCCACTGAAACCTGGAATTTCTTCACACATGCCCCAGAAGAAAAACTACACTGAACTTCTTAAAAATGGATGCCACTAAGTGAGTCAAAGCCTGATAGAAGACTAGAATGATCTTGG